AGAGGTGACACAGTCCAGCCATAATACAGGAAATTTTGTGGCCTCTAGGGAGGCTGCCTGGAAGCTGAACCCCAGAAGCCATTCTGGGGCTACACCAGAGAAGTCTCAAACGATGCATGCCATCTGACAACGAGTGATGGTTCGGGTCACTGCACAGTGCTCTCAACTTCTGCATTTAGCTTCACATGCAGTCTGAAGTTATGACATGGACAGGGGCATGTATAGTGAAAAGTGCTTTCTCAAATCCATGTTGCTTTCTCGCACATGGATAATCAGAAACAGGAGGTGTCTTAGGTCAGGACCCCTGGAAGCAGAATCTGAGACAGGAGTTTGGAATTTGGGTGGATGCGATTTATTGAGGCAGAGTCAGGGAAGTTGTGAGCAAGCATGTATCTCAGTAACGTCTTTACCATGTCTGATCTGGGAAGGATTCTGGAGTGTCAATTGTGCCAGAGTTGCCCGACTTGCAGCAAGGGGAGAATATCTCTGTATCACTGACTGCTCTCCTAGGTGGGATATGTATCACCCCCTCCCCCCAGGTATGTCCAGGCTCCCTGGTTCAGGTCACCCAAAGGCAAGTATCTGTAGAGGTCACAGGTGTGCATCTCCCAGAGCATTTGCAGCATTAGGGTGTGGTTAGTGTGCTGGCTGGTAAAAGGGATCTGGGCAGGGCACCAACAGCATCTACTATAAGTGAAGAGACAGATGTCAAGACCTAGAGAACCTGAGTACAGTCAGAGACTTGTTTGGCAAGTCCCAGGCTCCATTGTTGAAATGTTCAACTCAGTACCTGCTTCTCTGATCCTGTCTGAATGATCTTCAAGCATTTCAATGCTAGCACCCTGGAGACCATCTGAAAAGATGAGGAGTATCTACAGCAAAAGGAAAACAGAGAATAGGATGATGTGAAAGCTAAATACATCACGGGGGAAAGAAGAACAAATGGAAGAATGCAGAGACAGATATGGGAGAGGACATGACATGGGTACCTGTCCCCGGGTTGCAGAAGTATTCTCATATGTGTCCCACAGCGATCGCAAGAACTGAGTGTTGAGATGAGTTGGTCCATTGACGGTGACCTGTCTCAGCTTGTCAAATATTGCTTTCTGGTAGATGTGGAACTTGGAGGCGAATGCGTCCTCATTGTTCACCTTAAAGGCCACGCTCACCTGAGCCTCTGCGCCTGCCCCACAGCTCACCCCTCTGATGGAACTGATGTCCTGTAAGATGTCTGGGAGGTATGACTCCAGCCGGGAGCGGTCCTGGAATAAACGCTGCCCCTGCAGGGAAGTGGAAATGTCGAACCCCACCACTATGTCGATGTAGCAATCTGGAGACCAAGAGAAACAAAGCCAGATTAGTGAGTAGACAGGAGGAAAGGAAGGGCAGAATAGGCAGGAGAAAGGAGAGGGATCATGGTCAGGGCTAGAGGGTCTCTATCACCAAAAAGTATCCAAGAAGGTGATATTGGCTGCCTTACCGGCTTATTACATAGGTGCTTCCTCTATCTCCATTCAAATAATTGCAAATTCCAATAGCTATTTGAAGTTCAAACCATGGTTATTCTCATTCTCAGTGTGGCTGCTTCTGTGCATATGTGCTTATTTTGATTATGGCATTCAGGTAGTCACAAAATATTAAAGACATTTTGTATTGTCCATAGGCATTATTTACTCTAGAGGTCACAAATTCAAATGACTATGAAGACCAGCTGAATAATGTGAATGAGTCAGTGGGCAGGGGAGAAAGAAAATGAACTGGGGAGCAGTGACCCACCTAAAGGGAGTGTCACTATCTCGTTCCAGCTGAGACAACCATGTGGGAAATGGGGCCCAGTGTTGTCAGATCTTCTGATTTGTTCAAAGACTAGTATGAAATCTACATTTTTATCTCTCAGTAACATTGTTCGGTTGCTGAATGTTGTCAACCAATTTAACAAGTTGTCAACACTGGACAGGACAGACAAAACTGATTTGCAAGCTGCCATATTGTCACCTCTCTAGTCCAATTGCTCATCATTTTACAGATGAGGAAGCAGTGACTTGTTGAACCAGAGTTGGAACTTTGGCTTTCTGATTCCCGGCCCAGGGTTCTTTCCACCACTGTCATCTGTCTCCACTTAAGCACCCCAAATGGGATATACAAGATCTGGAGGGCTTGGGAAGACTAACAAAATTTGCCAAAGAAGTGGCTTCAATCACAACAATTACGGAACCAGAAACAATCAGGAATTTCTGCATGTGG